ATAAAAATTTTAATGAGCATCTGCGGGGCACTCATTGTAAGAGGCGGAATACTGTCCCTGGGAATTTCTATTATAGTGCGTAGGCTGGCTGAACGAACAAGTAAATGGACAGAGCGTAAACTGAAGGCAGAATTATACAGCAGCAGCCACAGTATCTCTGCAGTGCCACACGACACACGCTCATTAAATAAGTGTTCCATGAAAGTACAGTATTGTGTAACCTTACCCAGCCGAGGGGAAAAAAAAAAACCCACGTGGCTATATTTACCTTTTCCTATCACGTGACCCTACACGACCAATCCCATCGATCTCGGGTTCCCACCGTCTGCCTTGACGGATGTCGGAGTAGGACGGGTAATTGGGTATTCTACAAGCACGTGACTAGCGTTGTCTCTTTTCTATTGGTAAACGCAACTCACCCTTGGCCTATCTCCGAGGCCTCCAGGGTTCAAGCCCCGCCCCTCGCTTGTGGACTGGTCCGACCCTGCGCAGGCGCAATGGTTGGTAATGGTGACTGATGGGGGTTGAAGTGACCCAAATCCCTGCATTTGCGACTGCCCCTTCGCCCCGCAGCTTCCTAGATCCCAGACTAAGCCTTCTGAACCAGGATCCCGTGAGATAGGCAGATGGGTATTCGAGTGTTCAAAGAATGAGAACTCTTGTGGGTGCCCGATCCGCTTCCCGCCAGTTTCTTTCGACCTGGGAAAGAAAGAGGAGCGTGGGAAAAGGAGGTGCTGGGGAGCAGAGGGAGCAGAGTGGGGGGATGGCCAGGCGCAGAGGTTAGTGGGTGTCGGCGAGCCAAAGGCCTTTGGAGCGTCCCAAAATCAAGCTTGTATCTCCACCCAGTGCCTTGTGGTGGTGCACGCCTGTAACCCCGGCACTTGGGGAGGCGGGATGCGGGGTGTGGGTGGCCGCTCCAAACCCTTACAAGGAGCATCCGCCTCAGGAGCTACCGGGTTCCTCTGGGGTGTGGGCACAGTGAACGTTCTTGACCCTCAAGACGTGATTTCGTAATTCGTTCCTGCCAGCATCGAGGTGCTGGAAGAGCCTTCCCTCCTTCCCTGAAACTACACCAGCTCTCCACGGCCCTCCACCTGTTAACCACTCCTGGTGTCCTCAGCGAGGTGGACTTTCAGGCTTCTACTTTTAACTTTGGATTCACTGTTATCTGTGGGAATCTAACCATAACCTGCAGGCAAATGAGAGGTGTTGTTTAAAGGAGAACTGAGCCGGTCATGGTGGCTCACACCCCATGGGTATTGGCGAGGCCGATGCAGGCGGATGGCTGTGAGTTTGAGTCCAGCCTGGGCTTCAGACGACGAGATCGGGCGCGTTCAGGGTGGTATCGCCTTAGACTAGCCCGGGCTTCAGAGTGAGTCCACGGACAGCCGGACCTACATAGTGAGACCCCGTTTCAGATAAACCAAAAATAAACAAAACTGGAAGGAAAGGCTTGTTTTCTGCTCCTGGCTTGCAAACTATGTAATGTGGTCTTAGGTAATTCTAGATCTTAGTTTTTACAAAAACAGCGGTAGAAGCCAATATAGTGGCGCATGCCAGTCACCCCAACATTCTGGAAGGCTGAGGCAGGAGGATTGCAAGTTGAAGCCCACCCTGGGAACTTAGTGAAACCTTGTCTCAAAAGGGAGGGGGCCGAGGATGCAAAGGCCCTGAGTTCAATCCCCAGTAGCTCCCCACCCCCCAAAAAGTGCTAGAGTGCTTGCCTAGCATGTAGGAGGCTCTGGCTTAATGAATAAGTAAGTAATTAAATAAAATGAGGACTAAGTTTTTTCTAAGCCCATCACTGCATGCACTACTTCATGCAATTTTCTGGTAGAGAACAGGAGGGGTGGAATGGAATGTTTTGTGAGGTACTTCAGGGCAAAAAGTGGTATCTTTTGAATCTTTAGTTACTTAATACAGTGTCTGTCCATAACTGTTGTTGAGATTTCTTTTGTTTTTGTTTTTGTTTTTGTGTTGGGAATCGAACTCAAGACTTTGCGCTTGCCAGACAGGTGCTGTGCCACTAAGCTATATTCCTGGCCCCGTTGATGAGGTTTGTGAATGAGAATGGCTTAAGGCCAGGTGTGGTGGCGCACGCCTGTAACCCCAGCACTTGGAAAGCTGAGGCAGGAGGATTGTTGCGAGTTCAAGACCAGCATGGGCTGCAAAATGAGCTCAAGGTGAGTCTGAACTACCCAGCGAGACCCTGTCTCGAAAAGACAAAAAAAAAAAAAATTTTTTTCCAGACCTTGGATTATCCAGGTGACCTGAAATGTGCTTGCTAGGCAGGTGTGGATGAGCAGGTATTGCCTGTCCTAGTTTTACACAAAAGGCTCTCCAGAGCAGCCTGTGATTCTTCCATCCACCTTATTTCTCAGGGTACACTGACTCTTCCTGGATAACACAGTAATCAAACAAGTCTTACTTCTTTCCTCAGCAGAAACAAATTCAATTAAGAGCCTCCCCCCCCACCCCGACTTGGAAATTAACTGTTTTCTTTCTACAAGCCAGGTGCCAGGCAGGGTTCTCATTCCTTAGAGAACTGTGTCATAAAGCACCATTCTCTCTTTAAGCTGATTTTTTTTTTTTTTTTTTTTGAGACAAGGTCTTGCTATGCAGTTCAGTAAGGCCTTGAGCTCACTTTGTAGCCCAGGCTGGTCTTGAACTCGCAGTAATCCTCCTTCCTCAGCCTCCCGAGTGCTGGAATTACAGGCGTGTGCCATCACGCCTGGCTAAGTTCATTTTTAAAAAGAATATAAGGGCTGGGGATGTGGCTCAGTGGTGGAGTTCTTGCCTCGTATGCACAAGGCCCTGGGTTCGATCCTCAGCACCACAAACAAAACAAAACACAAAAAGAAACAACAACTGTGTCAAATGAGAGATATGGTGGTTGCTTTGATTCGGTCATTAGCATTGTATCCCTGTATTAAATGCCACACTGTACCCCATAAATATCTACTTTGTGTCAATTAAAAATAAATATATCTTAAAAAAAAAATGTGCAGCCCACACAACTGGTATGCTACAAAATACTTGAAGGCTTGGTTAATAAAACATTCATTCACATTTATTTTTTAAAAATGGTTCAATTAAAGACACAACCATTTGGAGTTATAAATTAAGTCACTAAGTCATTTTTTTCTGCACTTACACAGTGAATGTGCTCCCTGGGTGAGCCCTCCTGGCAGCGTTGTGCCCTACGTTTTCCCAAGACTATTTCCTCTGGAAGTTGGCAGGAAAAGGAAATGAATGCAGTTTTACCATCAAGAGCAGCTGTTTCTTTGAAAAAAGTCTTTCCCGGGTAAACCTCATTGGCCTGACAGCTCACTCCTTGGCTCTGCAATACAGGCCTAGCTTGGAGATTTCCCCGGCAGACAGGGCTGTTTGCTGCCCCCCTACAGGGTGCAGTGGAGGAGCGCCAATGAGTTTTGAGGAAGAAAGGAGGAGGCCTCCGATCTGAAGAGAAATGAAGCAAATTAATGGGAATGGGTATGGGGGCTGATTCAATACGCAAAACACCAAAGCACTTAGAACACAGAAGAATGGACACTATATATTAAATAAAAGCAGGATGTAGTAAAACTCCAACCACAGCACTCCCCAGGCCCAAAAATAAAAAGTAATAACTAAACATAAGATTCCTTTTTTTTTTCTTTCTTTCTTGGTTTTTGGGTTTTTTTTCCGGTACCGGGAATCGAACTCACAACCTTGCACTTGCCAGGCAGGCGCTATGCCACTGAGCTAAGTCCCCAGCCCCCAAACGTAAGATTCTTTATAGAAAAAGTTAAGTGGGTTATCTAGGTAGTGAGATTATGGGTTATTTGTAATTTATCTGTATCATCATGTACACTTTGCAAGAAATATATATTATGCCAGTAATACAAAATTAGTGTAAAAGTATGTTAAAAAGTGGTTGTGAGCTGGCTGTGGTGGCGAATGCTATTAATCCCAGCTACTCAGGAGTCTGAGGTAGGAGAATCAAAAGTCTGAGGCCAGCTCAGGGAATTTAGTAAGACCTTGTCTCAAAAATAAAGTACTTTTGGCTAAGCATGGTGGGGCATGGCTGTAATCCCAGCACTCAGGACGCTGAGGCAGGAGGATCACCATGAGTTCGAGGCCAGACTGGACTACATATTTTTTGGACTATACCAAAAAAATTTTAATTTTTAAAAAGGGGAAAGTAGCATAGTACCAGATCATAGATTAAATTCCCAATAATGCAAAAATAAACACTAATAAACAAATTAAAGGCCGGGCGTGGTGGTGCATGCCTGTAATCCCAGTATTTGGGAGGCTGAGGCAAGAGGATCATTGCGAGTTCAAGACCAGCCTGGGCTACATAGTGAGTTCAAGGCCAGCGAGAACTGCATAGTGAGACCCTGTCTCAAAAAGACAAAAAAAAAAAAAACAAAAAACAAAAAATAAAAAACCCAAACAACAAAAATAAATTGAAAGAAAGCCAAAACAAAACAAAACAAAACAAAAAAACCCTAACCATACAAAGCCATGGCAATTCAATTTTAAAATGGGCAAAGGAAAAAAAAAAATGGGCAAAGGAGCTAGGCATGGTAGCACATGCCTGTAATCCCAGCACTTATGAGGCTGACACAGGAGTTTGAGACCAGCCTGGGCTACATAGTGAGTTCAAGGCCAGCCTGAACTAACAGTGAGAGCCTGTTTCAAAAAATAAATAAAAAGGTATTTACCTTCAGCAGCAGGATTGGAGGGAAGATCCCTGTTCCGGCCTAGGAACATCAGGCTGTGGTCAGTGCGGGTCTATTAAAGGCAGCAATTCCCCGCAGCGCGAATTCAGCTTCAGACAGGCCAAGTGGTCCGAGCGCGTAGGCCCGATGTTCAGGATGGCGATCGGTATCTTCTTGTCCCAGGCAGTCAGGATGAACCTGTAACCAGAGTACACCTGCCCGGACAGGAGATTCGAATGAGGGTTCGCTAGGTCCGCGCAGGAGGGGCCCTCCCTCAAGCCTCTCACCCTACAAAGGAGCAATTACCCACCCCCACCCCACCCCCGCGTCAGATACCTGCAAGGACGAGCCCACCACCAACACAGCGTCGGCCTCTTTCACGCGCTTGTGCACAAAATCGACCTTGGCAGCGTCCACCGTGTCCCCAAAGAAGACGACATCTGGTTTGAGAGGGCCTCCGCATCGAAGGCAGGGTGGCACCTGAAAACTCTGTACCTGCTCGTCCGAGAGAAAGACATCGCCATCCGGAGCAAGGCCCTGGGCCTCCGCGCCCCACTTGGGGTTCAGGACTCGGAAGCGCTCCTGCAGCGCCTCCCGCGGGGTCTGCGCGCCGCAGTCCAAGCAGAGGACCCTGAAAGCCGAGACAGCCCCGCTGAGCACTGTGTCCTCCCTCGCATGGGCAGCCCCGAGAGCATTTCTTTTCTAATTTCTCCCGCATTTTCATAATCTTTTCTCATGATCTGTTTCTCACCTCCTTATTCTACCAGCATTCTAAAGCAAGGAGGAACATGTTTCCTGACTACACATTCTGCTCAGCCTTCAGATAACTTTTTAAATTATGGTACTGGGGATAGAACCCAGGCCCTTCACACTGAAATATATACATCCCAGTCCTTATTTAAAGTATTACTTGAAAAAAAAAAATATTTGAGGCAGCATCTCCCTTAATCACTGAGGCTGGGCTTGAATTCACAATCCTCCTGCCTCAGCCTCCTATCATAATGCTGGGATTATAAGTGTGTACCACTACGCCCAGTTCAGGCTGGCCTTGAACTTATGTACACCAGGCTGTCCTCGAACTTGTCAAAATCCTCCTGCCTCAGCCTCTCAATTGCTGGGATTACAGGTGTGCACCACCACACCTAGCTGTATTTTTTAAAAGACAGTTTATTTAAAGATGGAGAAGGAGGAAAAGACAGATGACAGAAAGCTACTCTGGATGAACAGGGAAAATTCGAGAATAAATTTCTCCCTTTTTTTTTTTTCATTATTGTATTTGATTTCTTTTAGTAAGCCATAGGCATCATGAACTCTGATTCCTCCCCTGCAGTACCACCTTAGTCCGGGTCCCTTGGGCTGACTCCCTGGTCCTCTCTTCCTAATCCTGTCTGGACTTCATCCAATCTATTTTTATCATGTTGCTCTTACTCAGAAACCACTAACAGGTCCTTTGTGTCTCACAACAGACCCAAGCTGCACTGCCTGGCTTTCAAATGCACCAGGATTTGGGTTCCTTCCTCTGACAATCTGTTTCCACACCAGTCCCCATCCCAAGTCCTCCCTAGAGGTCAGCCCAGATTGCCCTGGGCTCCAACATTCCCTTCCTTTAGCAAACCCTCTCTTTCCTCCGTGTCTAGTCACACAAAAGCCAGGCTCAAGCTGCAACTTAACCCTAAAAGCTTCCTCAATTACCCCAAGCTTGACTACTGTTTGTTTAAACGTGCAATCATTTATATTAAGGGCCACACAGCCAGGCACAGCGGCACACACCTGTAATCCTAGCTCTCAGAGAATGAGATAGTATTAAATGGGAGCCCAGCCTGGGCAACTCAATGACTTAGCAGACCTTATCTCAAAACAAAAATAAATAAATAAATAAAAAGGGCTGGAGATGTAGCTCAGGGCTAAGCCCCTGGGTTCAATTTGTAGTACTGAAAATAAAAATAAAAAGAACCATACACTTAACAGCCATGTATTGTTTGTTGTTTCTTTTTGAGACAAGGTCTCACTATGTAGTTTAGGCTGGTCTTGAACTCACTCTGGAGCCAGGCTGGCCTCGAACTCACAGTGATCTTCCTGCCTCAGCCTCCCCATCCATCCTCCATTTACATCCCTACTCTTCTCTGAGCTTAGTAGGATCCACTCCAAAAGGACTTGCTCCCAAAACCTTTCTCAAGATGTGACTAAGGCAACATGATCAGGAGAGCCAGGGCGGCTGCTCTTAGGGGATGCACAGTTCTGCGGCAGCCTGTGCCTTCTCGCACCTGTGCATGCATCCGTGGAGCTCCGTCAGCCGCTGACTGCCAGCCTTGGTGTGCAGAGCGTCCACATTCTGCGTCACCAGCCAGTGCAGCTTCCCGAGGCTCTCCCAGGTGCTCAGAGCCCAGTGTGCCGGGTTGGGCCGGTGGGAGGAGAACTGAGGCCAACCCACGAAGTTCCGCGCCCAGTACCGCTGGCGGATCGGGGCACTGCGGACGAAATCGCTGTGCTGGATGGGTCTCCGGGCGGTGCGGGCGTAAAGTCCCACCTTTTCCGACCTATAGTCCGGAATCCCCGACTCGGTGGAGATTCCCGCCCCGGTCATCACTAGGAGTTTCTTGGAAAGGGAGATGAAGTGCTGGAACTCTTTCACTTCCTCAGGATTTACAGGAGGACTTGGTGGCACAAACAACCTACTGGATCCACGCAAGCACTGCTGGCTGAGGTTCGTGGCCCAGCAGCCTTTTGTTGACCTGAAACTCAGCCCATACGTCAGCCTCATTCTAGACAAAAAACAAAACAAAACAAAACAAAAAAGCACCTCAAGTGAGAATCAGGGTTTTGCAACCAAATGTAATCACTAACTAATGAGTGGATACCCAAAATGTGGTCTATCTATAGGATGGAATACCACTTAGCTATAGAAAGATCTATGCCAGGCATGGTGGCACATGCCTGGAATCCCAGCTCTCAGGAGGCTGAGGCAGGAGGATTGCCACGAGTTCTAGCCAGCCTGGGCTACATAGTGAGTTCAAAGACAGCCTGAACTACATAGAGAGCCCCTGTCTCTAAAAACCAAACCAAAAAATAAATAAATAAATAAATAAATAAAAACCAAACCATTGGCTGGGCATGGTGGCGCACACCTGTAATCCCAACACTTGCAAGGCTGAGGCAGGAAGATCCTTGCAAGTTCGAGGCCAGCCTGGGCTACTAAGTGAGCTCAAGGCCAGCCTGAACCGCACAGCGAGATCCTGCCTCAAAACGACCAAAAAAAAAAAGCAAACCAATAATAATAATAATAATAATAATCAGAATTATCTTACTTCTCCACAAGCTAAGAAAAGCATTTCAGCTATAGTATGTCAGGTTCACCGAGGTCCACACCATGCTGGAATTGAACCCAGGGCCTCCAGCACGCTAGGTAAGAACTCTTAACATTGAGCTACACTCCTAGCCCAACAAGTCAGACTTTTCAGGCTTTTGTTTTATTGATAGCATTAACCACGTGCACATCTTTTATTGCTTCATTTGTCCCATACGATTTGCATATTCTTTTTTTTTTTTTTTTTTTGGTTTTTCTCCGGTACCGGGAACCGAACTCACGACCTTGCGCTTGCCAGGCAGGCGCTTTGCCGCTGAGCTAAATCCCCAGCCCCCGATTTGTGTATTCTCCCTTACAGATTCTGCTGCTTAGACACGGCACGGGGGGAGGGGGACAACACTCATGAGGGTCAGTTTTTCTAGCTGTAAACACAAAGCTTTGACTTAGTCTTTGATATAACACAGAAGCTCTTTACTGATACGCACCCCATAGGCAAACAGTGTTTTATGCTTGACTTTCTACACCTGAATTCAGAACCTAGCTTTGCCTGACATTCCACAACAAGGTGGACTGCTAAACAAATACTACAGGGTCAGATTTCCTAAGGCCAAAGGCCAGGGATATCCTGCTGAAAACACATTCCGTGGGAACAGCTCTTCTCTTCCAGGTCCTACCACCGGCAACGAGGAGAAATGCAATCCCCTTACAAGAAATAAACAACTTTTAGAAACCTGCAGCCTGCACAGAACACACTTACCTTTCCCAGTTTAGGGGACACTTGACAACCGGTAGTGGGACTATCCTGCTCCCTATGCATTTTGGGAAGTGTAGTTCATGAAGCAAAAATGAGTCTAGAAAAACTACAAATCCCACAATCCTACGAGGGCCATACTTGAAGGGCCATTCTTGAGGCGCGCCCTCTATCGACCTTCCCTGGTGAGACTTTGGAATCCTGGCCAGCGCGCCCTGAGCCAACCACGATACATACAGCAGTCTTCTCCTTCAGATAGAAGAGGTTAGAACGTGGGTACCAATGATCTGAGTGCAAACTCGCCATCCCAATAGCGCTAGTTTAGGAATTCATGTGTTTTTTGGTTTTTTTCTCTCTTTTTCAGACAAGGTCTCGCTATGCAGTTCAGGCTGGCTTTGAACTCACTTTGTAGCCCAGGCTGGTCTCAAACTCACAACGATCCTCCTTCCTCAGCCTCCTGAGTGCTGGGATTACAGGCGTGCGCCCCCACTCCTGGCTCATGTTTGTTTTTTGAGACAGCGTCTAGCTATGTAGCTCAGAAAGTTCTGGGATTACAGGCAGGTGCCACCACGCCCAGCAAATTCATCTTCTCTTAAAATATTTTTTTGGAAAAAAAATATTTTTTTGTATTTTTGAGACAGGGTCTCGCTATGCAGTTCAGGCTGGCCTTGAGCTCACTTTACAACCCAGACTGGTCTCGAACTCTCAAAGATCTTCCTGCCTCAGCCTCCCAAGGGCTGGAATTAACAGGTGCACGCCACCACGTCCAGCTAATAGCAAAGAAAAAAATTTTAAAGGATTTTTTCGGTTTTTGTAGTACTGGAGATTGAACCCATTGACACATTGAGCTACATCCCCAGTCTTTTTCTTCCTCTTCTTCCTCTTTTAGAATTTCAGAGTCAGGATGCTCAATCTGATTTTTTTTTTTTTTTTTTTTTTTTTTGGTCTTTTTGAGACAGGGTCTCATTATGCAGTTCAGGCTGGCCTCGAGCTCACTTTGTAGCCCAGGCTCCAGCTAGTAATTTAATAAAGAATATAGATTTGACCCACCTTCATCTATGGTATTTATATCCCTTTCCATTCACCACAAGGGATCAAACGAGTTCACTACCATGTATAAAATACTTCGTAGTGGGTTTTGAAGAAATAGATTCACAGCTATCTGAAAATTTGTTTTTTTTTACATTTAATATGAACAATTTCTTCTTTCTTTCTTTCTTTCTTCCTTCCTTCCTTCCTTTCTTTTTTTTCAGTATTAGAGGTTGAACCTGGGCCTGTGCATGCTAGGCAGTGTTCTACCATTAAGCTATATCCTCAGCCTCTTTTCCTTTTTTTATTATGAGACAGGATTTCATGAATTTGACCAGGCTAGCCTTGAACTTGTGATCTCTCAGCCTCAGTTTCCTTGTAGCTGGGATTACAGACATGCACCACTGTGCCTGGTTTAATATCAACAATTAAAGCCAAGTATAATATACGTGGACTAATGGGCTCACTCATTTGACTCTTTTAATATTTATTATCTTATGTTTGATTAAATCCATCAACACGATGCTTGGGCCTCACTCCCAGTTTTACAGATTTCCTTCATCAAGAGGAGAGGCCCGGACAAATCACTGCTCCATAGCATCACCTATATAAGGCATCAATTAGTGCATCTCTTAGAACATAATCTAGCATGGACTGTGAACTCCAGCTAAGGACTGTCTCCTATTTTGAAATGAGCGAAATCCCAGAGTAGCAAGAGGGAAGCTGGAGGCAGATAAATACTGGTAAAGTGACTCCACTTAGCAATTTGGGAGCAGTATTAGCAGCTACAACTCAATAGGTCACTACCTGTGGGACCTACTAAGCTCCGAATCAGTCACCCAACAGCTTTATGTGCCTCGGTTGATCTAATCACGTTGGCCAAAAGAACCAAACTGTAAGTTAAAACATCGAATGGCTGGGGGTGTAGCTCCGCGGCAGGGCACCGAGCTCGTGCTTAGTTAGCATAAAGAAGGTCCTAGGTTCAGTCACTGGCACACACACAGGTGCACACACACAAAGTAATCCAGCACATTTTCTGTGACAGCATCAGGATAGTGACCTTCTCATTGTTGGTTTGATTAGAAAAATCTCAGACTCGGGGCTGGGGATTTATCTCAGCGGCACAGCGCCTGCCTGGCTAACGCAAGGCCATGAGTTCAATTCCCGGTACTGGAAAAAAACCAACAAACAAAAAAACAAACAAATAGAAAAATCTCAGACTCATACTACCTTTTTCTAGTTCTCTAAATCAAATAAGCATCGGGGCTGGGGATTTAGCTCAGCGGCACAGCGCCTGCTTGGTAAGCACAACGTTGTGAGTTTGATTCCCCGTACCAGAAAATAAATAAATAAATAAATAAATAAATAAAATAAGCATCAATCACAGAGATTAGCTGGAAATGCAGAGCTAATGCACTTTCAGGTCCCAAAGCATGCCATGTTCTGGAGAGAAGCTAGGTGAGTTTTTAATTTTTATTCATTGCATTGGAAAGTCACCCATGGAAGGTATTGTAGTTATTATATAAAATGTCCCCCCAAACTGGGTGTGATAGTGCATACTGGTAATCCCAGCACTCAGGAGGCTGAGGCAGGAGATAGGAGGATTGCCACAGTTTGAGGTCAACCTGCGCTACATAGTGAGTTCAAAGACAGCCTAAACTACATAGCAAGCCCCTGTTCTCAAAAAACTATAATAATTATTTTTTTAAAAAAACCTAGTAAATAGGGGGCCAGGGATATAGCTCAGTGGCAAATGTGCCTGCCTGGCAAGTGCAAGGTCCTGAGTTTGATTCCCGGAACCAAAAGAGAGAGAGAAAAAAAAAAACACCTAGTAAATAAACTGGGTGTGGTGGTGCACACCTGTAATCCCAGCACTCGGGAGGCTGAGGCAGGAGGCTCGTTCCAAGTTTGCGATCAGCCTGGGCTACAAAGTGAGCTCAAGACCAGCCTGAACTGCAGAGCAAGACCCTGTCTCAAAAAGACAAAGACAAACAAAAGAAACCAGAAAAATAGATAAAATGAAATAAAATGTCCTCCAAAAGTTCATTGTATTGCATGCTTGGTTGCCAGCTAATGGGCTTTTTTTTTCTTTTTTTTTTTTTTTTTTTGACACAGGCAAACTCACAGCGATCCTCTTGCTTCAACCTCTGAATACTGGGATTACAGTGTGCACCACCATACTTGCCTTTAGCTAATGGGCATCTGAAGTGCCTGGGTCATGAGGGCTCTAACTTTTTCAGTGGATTAATGCATTGATGAGATCATAATTTTTTTTTTTTGGTACTAGGAATCGAACTCAGGATCTTGCGCTTGCCAGGCAGGCGCTTGTGCTGCTGAGCAATATCCCCATCCCCCTGAGATCATAATTTGCTGGCATTATTGGGAGGTGATTGAAATGGGGGTGGGGCCTCGTCAGAGGGAGTGTAACAGCAGTCGGACCTTGGGAAACATATCTGGCCTTGCTTCCATTCCTCTCAGGCTCCCTCGTGCTCTCCAGGTCCTGGCTGCCATGAGGTCAGCAATCCTCCCAAGTGCTGGGATTACAGGTGTGCACCACCACACCCCACACCCAGTTTGTTTGAATTTTAATTAACGGTAAAGGGAACTGGGGATTAAGGTCAGTGGCACAGCGCCTGCCTGGCAAGCACAAGGTCGTGAGTTCGATTCTCGGTACCAGAAAAAAAAATTAATTAATGGTAAAAATCAAAATAAAAGTATTTTTGAGAATATAGGTCAGGGAGGAAATGAGTTCAGCTTTCCACTTGCCAAAGGAAATAGGTAGTAAGGGTGAAAGTTACTTCAAACGTTATGTATTGGAGACACTTCTATGGGAATAGTCTTCTCTTCTCTCTTCATAAAACTCTTTTGAGGCCGGATGTGGTGGTGTATGCCTGTAATCCCAGCATTTGGGAGGCTGAGGCAAGAGGATCGTTGCAAATTCGAGATCAGCCTGGGCTACAAAGTGAGCTCAAGGCCAGCCTGAGCGGCATAGTGAGACCTTGTCTCAAAAAGACAAAAAAAAACAAAAAACTCTTTTGAATTAAACATAGAATTGGATACGGGCGCCAAGGATATAGCTCAGTGGCACCGTGCCTGCCTGGCAGGTGTGAGATCATGAGTTCGATTCCCGGTACCAAAAACAAAAAAACAAAAAAGAATTGCATATGATTCAGCAATTCCACTTCTAGATAGGTACCCAAAATAATTAAAAACAGGAACTCAAAATGACCCTTAAACACCAAAGTAGCATTACTCACAAGAGCTGAAAGGAAAAAAAAAAAAAAAAAGAGCTGAAAGGTAGAAATAACCTAAGCGTTCCTAAAGAATGAATGTATAATTCCATCTAAGGAAATATTCGACCATAAAAAGGAAGAAAATGCTGATATGTACTGCAACATGGGTCAACCATAAAATATTATGGTACACCTGATCTTAGCCAAAAGGCCGAGAAGCGATACATATTATGGTAAAGTAAAATAAACCAGATCCAGAATCTGGCAGGGCCAAATCACGTGATATTGTATGATTTCTTCCTTCCTTTCTTTTTTCTTTCTTTCTTTCTTTCTTTCTTTTTCTTTCTTTCTTTCTTTCTTTCTTTCTTTCTTTCTTTCTTTCCTTCCTTCCTTCCTTCCTTCCTTCCTTGCTTCCTTGCTTCCTTGCTTCCTTCCTTCCTTCCTTCCTTCCTTTTGAGACAGGGTCTGGCCGTGCAGTTCAGGTTGGTCTAGAGGTCACTTTGTAGCCCAGGCTGTTCTCAAGTTTGCAACGATCCTCCCGTCTCAGCCTCCTGAGTGCTGGGATTATAGGAGTGCGGCAGCACGCCCGGCTGATTTCATTTATTATAGGGTACCTACAGTGGTCAATTTCATACAGACAGAGACTTTGGAGAGAGGGGAATAAGGATTTAGAGTTTAATAGATACGGAGTTTAAATTTGGGAAAATAAACCGGGCGTGATGGCGCACGCCTGTAATCCCAGCACTCTGGAGGCTGAGGCCGGAGGATTGTTTTGAGTTCGAGACCAGCCTGGGCTACGAAGTGAGCTCAAGGCCAGCCTGAACTGCATAGGGAGACCCTGTCTCAAAAAAAAAAAAAAAAAAAAAAGTTTGGGAAAATAAATAAAGTTCTGGAGGTGGATGGTGGTGATTGCAAAATGATGTGAAAGTATTCAGTGCCCCTCAGTTTACTCTTTAAAAAAGTTAAAATGGTAAATTTCATGTGGTAAATGGTAAGATGTATGCATACATTTTATTGTGTTTAACACAATAAACATCCATAAAACCTCTTTGGAGAAGGTAGTTACGATATGAAACGGACCACACTGACTACGATGATTCAAATGTCCCCCATCTCCCCTGCTGTCACTGAATTAAGCTTATTAGCATGTTCCCTCCCATAGTGCTTTGCTTCATTCTCTGCCAAAACCTGCTTAAGTGAAATCACAACTGAAACCTCCTATATATTTCCAAGTTATCTTTAAATGATTTGGTGTGGTTGAATCGTTTTCAAGAAAAAAGTCTTTGACGGTTTTTACACTAGCTTTAAACTCACCTTTCTGTAATAGGAACCTCACTTATTGGCAATAATGACTAAAGGGCTTGAATTTTAGCTTTGCGCAGTGGCAGTATCGTAGCCAATGAGGTTTATCCGAGGCGCGATTATTGCTAATTGAAAACTTTTCCCAATACCCCGCCGTGACGACTTGAAATATAGTCGGCACTGGCAATTTTTGACAGTCTCTACGGAGACTGAATAATCTTTGTTTAACAATAGAAATAAATTGTGCTTTTTACAAGCTTAAAGAGAACATCGATTTCTTTTAAGCTCTTGCAGTTTATGTGTACTGTTTTACAATAAAAAGTAGTATAGCATTTTATCTTAGATTTTATTTTCTTTTCCCATGAAGAAAGACAAGGTTGATAAGCGCGTTTTCCCCAGTGTGAATTTCCTAGGGTTCTTTTGTTTTCAACCTGGTGTTTCATAAATAACTATTATAAACTATAGTTTTTTATGTTTCTTTTACTTTTTATCTTTAGGCGGGTTTCTGAAAGTTTTTTAGGCTGGTCTGGGTCTCAATCCTGAACAGTGCTAGAAACACCGGCATACACCAGTACACGCCTAGTTTCACAATATACTCACAGTTTTGTTATGTGAGGGTTTTTCTCTGTTAAATGTTTTTTCCCCGGTTGGTTGTAGCCCAAACCCCTTTCTCTTTTCCGGGGCACTCGCTTTCCCGCCGCTGTTTATGAATGTCTCGACCCAACCTTCTCTATGACGTCATGTTAATTTGCATGAGAGCTCCCAGCATTCCACGCGAATGCTTTTGCTATGTCAAAATTTTTCATGTAAGGTACAAGATAATCTAATAACAAGAAACTTCCCACTTAGTTGAGTCTTAAACATAAGTACTCGAATGGGAACGCATGATACCTACAAATTCCTCAGTAGTCACTCAACCTCAGCGTTAAGGCAGTTGTTATCTGTGGGAGTGCAGAGCCGACATGTCAGTTCTTTAGCTTTGCGCAGTGGCAGTATCGTAGCCAATGAGGTTTATCCGAGGCGCGATTATTGCTAATTGAAAACTTTTCCCAATACCCCGCCATGACGACTTGAAATACAGTCGGCATTGGCAATTTTTGACAGTCTCTACGGAGACTGAATAACCGTGTTTCTAAAAAAAAATGCTGTTGTTTCCATCGAGTTATTTTACCGCCTTGTAAAGATTGCTACACTCTCAGGTTATACTTAATGGGTGGTTTAATTTCTTACGTATCATAGAAGTGGGAGGTATACATTTAAAAAGGGGATTTGTTCTATTTATTTACCACCGGCAGCTAGACGCAAGATTTCGCACTTGTTAAGTACGCTTTGTGCGACTGAGTTGATGATCAGGGGGAAAATAGATACAAACTTCAGTCAGACTCAAGGCTAATTAAAATTTTCTTAGCTGTTTTATTTGTATTGACAAAATGCTGCAAACAACCCAAATGTCCTTATGTAGGTAAAAGGGGGAACAAACTGGTGTTTCAATGCAATGAATAATCAGCAAGAAGAAAGAATGGATCTCAAGAACATCACACTTCATGGAAAAAGTCAACCTCAAAATGTGACATACAATCTGGCCTGCTGGTGTACAACTGTAATCTCAGCACTCTGGGTAGTTGTGATAGGAGGACCACAAGTCCGAGCCAAGCCTAAGCAATTTAGTGAAACCTGTCTCAAGAAAAGATGGCACTGTAGCTCAGTTTGAAGGCCTTGGTCAATCCCCAGTACTAAAAAAAAAAAA